TCATCATTGTCTTTACAGCTCTTCATAAGTCAGCTGTTTAACATAGGCCTCCTCCAAGGAATGCCATAAACCACGATCCTGAACCACCTAGATATCTTACCACAAGAGAGAAGAAAACATTAAGATTTTTTAAAATCCTCACACAATCAGTTCAAAACATATTCGCGCTTTATATTTTTCGGGCTTAATACCATTAATGGATATGTTATTACCCAATTATTTTGGTTGTAATTGTGCTTGGGATGTAAATATTCTTAATCAATAAATAAATATTAAAAATGTCCCGATATTGCATATATTTGTAATGCACTATACATATTTAAATTGATGCAAAAACATGCTTAAATTCTCGACACTGAATTATGCATACACTGTCTTATTTCTTTCTTTCTTTAACACTCCTTAAATTTTCACAATTGGACGCATACATATGTGTCTAAAACCATGGTACTGGTTGCAATTGATTTTAGATGCATAAGGTCATATGTGCCTGTCCTTATAATTAGTTGAGCATAGTTTTGGCTTACTTTTTGTTTCAACTGCTTGGGGAGGCACTTACAAAACTTATATTTTGCGCATTGAAAGAGCTGTGCTAAAAGTTATGCTTTCTAAACCTTTTAAGTTTTCCACAAGTAATTTGTTCTCTAAAGTAAATATGCTTACAATCCGACAGCTATAAATTTTAAAATATGTACTTAAGACACATAAGTACAATAACTTTAACTTAAATTGATTTCAAAAATTTAGAAGGAAAGACCAAATTATACTACTAGATGAATTTTATTCATTCTATGCTCAAAGACAAATAAACTTCTTGGGACCTTACCCTTATTAAAAAAAACCTGCAATATTATGACGATATTTAAACTAAAACGTTTTAAATATAAGTAATTTAAAACGTTTTAGTTTATATATCATATATTTTACTTCTACCCACAATAATTCATTTCTTGATTGCGGTAAAATTATTTTTATGCTTTTTTTCTGTTTGGTATGTATTTAATGGGGAGGGCTTAGCATATGGAGTGTAGAAGTAAGGAGTACAGACTGTGTATTAAAAAGTGTCCATAGAAAACCGTTAAATAAGGGTAGCGCCACTATAACTATGATGTAAATTTTAAAGAACGCACCGAAAAATATTAGTGACATGGACGACTTTTTCGAGGTTATATTTACTAAATAAAATTATTTTAGATTTCAGAGCTACTGAGCAGTTCAGCAGCACACTTAAACCGTCGACAACTGCTAAGTTCATTTCATCCCAGTAGCTACTCCAGCGCTGTTGTGGAGAGTTTTTGAACTGTTATTTACTGCTTACAGATGGCCACTTTTTCAACTATTCTACTATGGGAGTTGATACCCCTTACTTCTACACTCCATAGCTTAGCAGCTGTAATACAGGTCTGTGACTAGTACGGTTGCTAAAGATACCTTAATATAGAATCGAGTTAGATTAAATCTTGTTTTTTTTTTTTGTTTTTATGTAAAGTATTATTATATATACATCATATATTCATTATTATTATAATATTATTATTATTATGGAGTATTTAGAGAGTATAAAAGGAAATGATAAATATACACAAATATATATTTATTATGCTGACATAAATAAATAAATAATACGTAAATAAATATAATATATAATAAAAGCCCAACCAGATGGAAGCCCTCGGCAGGGGAGACAAAACGGTCGAGGGTTAAGGGGAAAGGGGAAGAAACCGGCGGACGATGCGAGCGATATCGAGAAGCACCGCCCTCTCCATTTGGTCCGTTACGGAGTACCAGTCGCCTCAGATAACCCGAGACGCTGACTGGGATTAGCCCTTTTGCAGAAACGACTACAGGTAGGACACAGAAACGAATTTCGGTCGATAGCCCACCCCACATGTCGGTCACCTCGTGAGCCAGGTCCAGATATTTTGTTCGCTTATCTGTTTCGGCTTTCACGAGGTTTTCGTCATACGGAATGGTAATGTCGACCAAAAATTTCCTTGACTGTGCCCGGTCCATCAGCACAATATCAGACTTATTCGCAAGAACAGTGCTATCTGTGATGATGGCCCGGTCCCAGTAGAGCCTGGCGCTGACTGGAGCCTTATTATAATTTTAGGGTATCTATATAATTTTCTCACCTGGTTGGGTTCTATAAATATATAATTATAAATTAAAATGAAAAGATAAATGTACATAAATATCAATAAAATAAAATAAATACAAAAACTACATAAATAAATAAGATACAATCAGATGGGAGCCTCGGCAGGGGAAACCAAACGGCCGAGGGTTAGGAGGAAAGGGAAAGAAATCGGCGGACGATGCGGGCGGTATCGGGGAGCACCACCTTCTGCATTTGAGCCCGGAGCGGTCCGTCACGGAGTCCCAGTCGCCTCAGATGACCCGAGAGGCTGACTGGGATTAGCCCATTCGCAGAGACGACTACAGGAATAATCGGAACAGGACTACAGGACGACTACAAGAAATTCGGTCGGCATACTACCCCACATGTCGGTCACCTCGTGAGCCAGGTCCAGATATTTTGTTAGTTTATCTGTTTCGGCTTTCACGAGGTTCTCGTCATAAGAAATGGTAATGTCGATCAAAAATATCTATGACTGTGCCCGGTACATCAGCACAATATCAGGTCTCAGTAGAGCCTGGCGCGGTCATGTTCAAGCACGGCTTCCGGCAAGTACTTGTAATACGGCAATTTTCGGTCCACGAGACCGTATTTCAGAGCGAGCTCCTGGTGTAGAATTCTGGCTACTAGGTTGTGCCTGTGCAAGTACTCAGAGTTAGAAAGCGCCGAACAACCGGAGATGACATGCCTAAGTGACTCCCCGGGATGGCGACAAGCTCGACAGACGTCGACAGTGCCATCCTTTAGGATGTATCTCCGATAGTTGTTGGTCTTAATAACCTGATCCTGTATTGCACAGACAAAACCCTCGGTTTCCCCGAAAAGGTCACCGAAACGTAGCCAGTTGAGGGAGGCGGCCGTATCTACCTGAGGCTCATGTAGAGCCCTGTAGTACCTCCCATGGAGCTCCTTCTCCTTCCATACGGTCTCCCGGTCGGAAATACTCTGTACTGCCGGGTCTTGCCATTGGTCGTTGGCTAAGGATAGAGGGGTAAGTCCTTTATAACTAGAAATAACGTCATTATAGAATGCATCATCCGATCTCGCCAGGAAGTAATGACGGAGGCTGCACATTTCGCGATTTTGCATGGTGAACGCGCTCAGGAAGCCACGCCCACCATGCTTTCGCGGCAAGTACAGCCTCATTACCGACGATCTCGGATGATGCATCCTATGGGACGTCATTGTAGTGCGGACTTTTCTATCCAGGGCGTTAAGTTCAGTCTGACTCCACCTGAGTATGCCAAAGGTATACATGAGGACAGGCATGATCCAACCGTTATATGCATGTGTCCTATTCACACCGGACAAAAGGTTGTTAAGCACTTTGGTCAAGCATGCATAAAACACGTCGTAAACTGACTGTTTCATACCAGCCTCATCAATAACGATATTCTGTGACATACCCAGGTATCGGTATGTTTCAGCCTCAGAAAGGGCCCTTAAGTTGACGAGCATAGATAAGTCTATGCCCTCAGAGTTAGCGACCCTTCCCCTTTCAACATGGAGGACCGCACACTTATCCGTCCCCAGCTCCATTCTAATAGAATTGCTAAATTCACAAGTGATGTTCAGCAATTCCATAAGATGGGAGCGACTGGAGGCGAATAATTTGAGATCATCTATATAGAAAAGGTGGGTCACTTTGTACCTCCTTTCCAAAGCTCAAAACCCCTCCTGGAGCCTTCCAGTAAAGTACTGAGAGGGTTCATAGTGAGGCAGAACCAGATTGGACTCAGACAGTCGCCATGGAATATACCCCTTCTTATCCTTATGCGGCTTTCCGCAGCCGTCATCCGCTCACCTAGATGACAGAGGATTATACTCCACTGCCTCATACACTGCTCGAGGAAGTCTCGAACTGTACAGTCAATCTTGTACAGCTCGAGGACCCTCTTTAGCCATGTATGGGGAACCGTGTCAAATGCCTTTCTGTAATCTATCCAAGCGGCGGAGAAGTTCCGACGGTTGCATTTCACCACTTTGCCAATGACCGCGTCAATGAGGAGTGGTTCCTTGGTTCCACGACCGCCGCCCCGACATCCATTTTGAGCGCGCGACATACCTGATTTGAGTCCAGGTGACGAGCGATTCTCGCGCTCAAAATGGATGTTAGTATCCTGTATATAGTCGGTAGATACGTGATGGGGCGGTATTTGCTGGGGTCTGTGGCACCCTGATCTTTAGGAACCAAATGAGTGATCCCAGTAGTGAAGAGGCTTGGGAGCGACTTCTAGTTGAGAGCCTCTTGAAACTGTCGAGCGAGCACAGCGTGACACACCATGAACCCCTTCAGCCAGTAGTGAAGCAGCCCGTCAAGCCCCGGACTTTTCCAGTTCGGGGCCCTACGGACCGCCTCAGCTACGTCATCCGGCGTTATGATGACGTGGTCAATGGGCATAATACCCGCACACTGACTCGCCACAACTTCCGTCCAAGGGCCCTCGTTGTGGTTTACGGGCTCTGACCACAGGCTGCGCCAGAATGCGACCGTGTCGGCCTGATTTGGTGCAGGGCCCGTTCCACTTACTATTAGTCGCTCCAATGATTTATAAAGCCTCTTCTGATCACTCTGGAAGAGACGATTTTGGTTGAACCGTGTCGACCTCTCTGTATATTGCCGAATCCGCTTTCCCCAAGCAGCTATTCTTTTCTTCAGGTCGTTTATACGCTCCGTCAGTTTTTGCATTATATCCGGCTGGGACAAACTAACATTTGTCCCAGCAAACGCCATCCTGAAGGTGCGCACAATCCTTGGCCTGGTATTGCCTGACCTGAAGCATATCAATCTGCCGATGAGGGCCCTAGCCTTTGCGATACGTTCTTCAATTCTTATTCTCCAGGCTGGGATAGCACTACTTTACCCAGTAGCTCGTCCAGCCGTGGAAAGTTTGGCACCTATAATACGGCAGACTGCCAGTGCGGCGCCAAAAAGAATTGAGTCCGTCTCGCAAAGGTCCCGGCTGGCTTCCAAATAGGTAACCAGCATTGGGTTCAAAGCCCTCACGACAGCCCGATTCCGCTTGCTTAGGGCTAAGTGGGGAAGTCGCGGTCGATTTTCGAGAGGCGTACTGCGCGTTTCCACAATCGCCTCCTCCAATGTACTCCTCATTTGCTCTAGTTCCAGTTCCTGGGCGACTGTTCCATCATCGTTTGAATCAACCACAACTGGCGTATTCACGGCGGCATCCACATTTGCCATTTGCTCAGCAAGTTGTGGCGCCGCATCCTCAGCCGCAGCATTTTCACCCGATGAAGGAACAGCCTCACGTCGTAGCCGTTCGAGTTCGGCGACATCAAATGTATTTGAGCGCAAGATATACCGAACTCGGTCTGCCAGGTTTTGCTCGGTGACGGTTACAGATGGCTCCAGCTCAGCAAAAAAGTCGATGCATCCTTGCCCGATACGCAAAACCTCCAGGTTCTCCCCCTTTCGCCCTAAAATACGCCCGCAATACGTTGCTGTTCATCTGGGTTGTCCAACGCATGCGGCGTACTCCACCAGTGGCGGATGCCGATTGCTGGGCCCGCAAAGACCCTGCTGACACCAAACCAGCTGGTGGGGATGATGGATGCGAGGGGCTGCTAGGTGGTCGTACAGCACCTCGCGCTTGGCTGGCGGTTCGCATGCTGTCGCGTCCAGCGCCAGTTCCAGACGCCCTGGCGACCTCCAGGCAGCGGCCAATTGCGCGTTCTTCCGTATTCCATCATCCACAGTGGTGGGCGTCATTTAGCGGGAGACGCCCAGACCCGGTGCCGTTTCATGGTGAGGCCATGAGCACAAGCGGGCCTTTGCACCTTCAATTTTTGCCGAGGCATGGCACTAACACCTCACGGCAAGGTGCTGACTGACTGCGCTGACGTACCGGATTTGTCACATAACCGTTAGGTCAGCGGGCCATGGGGTCGTCACTTCCCTACGCCTTATTATTATAATTATTATTAATTATTTATTATGTGACGCAATTAACTATAACCACCTAAATTACCGGACACTGTTTCATTAGCTTAATGTGTTTCGTAATAGGTAAGTGCGCCAGAATGGACGCGGTGACCCAATGCGTGTTAACGATCTTCGTATATTCTCAAAACATTTTAAATTTCTTATGGCGACTGTACACGCTCGTCTCGTCACCTTGCGAATCGACATGAGAACACACCATGTACACACTCGTATCATTTGAAATCCGTATGCCCGCTGAGATGGATCTAGATGAAACTGTTGCAGCGTTTTGCCTTTGAGCTATTAGTTATTACAATTTTTTATACATTTATCATAAAAAGAATCTTATTAAACCACAGTGAAGAAGAAGATGGTGGATGGTTTCTATTAACTGTAACAGAACCATGTACGGTGAATAGAATAGAGTACGCTCTCGTTTTCATCGCGAGACTCACGAGACCCTTTAGCTCGAGTGCAGAAAACCGGCACGCTTCCGAGAGCGCTCGAGGGCCACGAGATGCGACGCGACGTGACAATGATACCACGTACTGGGCCTGTCTCGTGGTGACTCGACGAGCGTGTACAGCTGCCATTAGGTTTTTAAGTTTTAGAGCAATGATACAACTAATATGTGTAGTAGTGTGTGTTGTAACATGAACGGGTCAGCTTGGCAGCAGAAGGATCACGTTTTAACAAATTACACGCATAAAATAGCAGCTTAATTCTGCTGTTTTGCGTATGGTAACTTTAAAAAATCGGATACCCTTTTAACTAGAAATAAAGTATTGGATCTTAGTACTCATATGTGACAACATATCTGCAGTTTGATTACTTAGCGATTTGTTAAATGTACTAATAATGTGTTTGCAAAGAGACCTCTATACATAACTAGGAACAGTACAATCAAAAGTATAATTTTAACGACATTCTAAAGAGATCACTAATATTTCGATATGAAAGACGTGTTTGCGGTATGCCAGAGCCCGACTAATGGACGGCGACTAAGCACGCACACGACTTTGAAAGCAAAATAGGTTAGCGAAATATAATACAATAAAGACCATAGACTTAATATACTACTGTGTAATCAATGATAGAGACACATTTTCGTTATTATGTACCAAAATAATGACATTATTCAGCAAACATTACAAACACGTTTAGAGTATTTTCTAAGTAAATGTGAATTTTTGTCGTATTGTTAGTTCAATATAAAAATATTTCTGAATAAATCCGTTAGTCAATTATATTTCCCATTGAATTTTATTTTTTAAGGAGGTATGTGTGTCAAAGTAATAAGTTTGGTGTGCAAAACCATATATATTTTTTTTACGATAAGTTGACAAACGAATAGTACTCCTGCTGGTAAGTGGATGCTATGGCCCATAGACATCTACATCTATCCATAGTTTAGAAACAAAATGCAGATGCATTGTAACCCCTGAGGACTAAGATTAAATGCCTCGATTCAACTAAAAAGCGTCTCCGATTCTCTACACTCACCGTAAAACCAAATAATCACCATTTCTGTGAATAGTTAAAATACCAGTTTGTAACTACCATGACGATATGATTTATGCTTTTGGCTGCGGCGCCCAGGACATGCGTCTAAATCCTATACGGTACAAATATTCGTATGGCCTACATATGATAGTCTCGGGTTTGGGTTTTATTCATATACCATTTATGTACGTAAAACTGTTCCAGTGTAGAAGACATTTCTCGTGTGGCTATTATTTATATCTTGTTTTTAAATTTAGTAATAAATATTCCATAAAATATTTTATTATTTACGCAAATCCCCTGAAACTTTTCGGTGCCGTATATAACTTCGGACGCACGTCGCAGGGATCAGAGTTGGGTGGAATTAAATTACTTTGCCTTTCAAGTAAAATAAATATAGTTTTGGTAACTTTGACTTGGAAAGAGCCGCAACTAAAGGCGGAATGGCTATTTATGACTGTTTTAGTGACTTAAATACAGCAAAGTAGAAAACATAACAATTTTATAAGAGAGGGCAAACGAGCATGCCGAAACCCATGAAAACTGCAACACCAGGAGATTTACAAGTACTAGCCAACCTTTTAAAATAGAGTAGTCTATTTCTTGGAGATGCTTAAGTCATTCCATAAGAAAATTGCTGATTGTAACTGATTCCATAAAGAAGTTGTGGCATGAAAAACTTTTAGTGAACCACGTAGTAGTAGACTGCCATACAATACAGGGGGTTTTAGATAAAACCCGAAATTTTGTCGAGGCGTCATTCAGAAAATTTGACGTCTGAAATTAATCTAAATAATTCCTTTAGGCACTCCACGTGATGAAAGCGATATAAATAAACAAAAAAAGTAATATTTCTTCGCAGTATCAGCAATCGAGCCAATTTAAAATATCCTTGTCATCGATGATGGAGGCCGTTCTTCGCTGCGTTCTTGTGGTAAAGTGGCAGGATCTGGAGCACTGGATGCCCTGACTGGTAATACATGTAAATCTGAACTTGTGTCTTATAAAGTTGCAGATGGTGAGTCGTGCCGACGTGAAGTTCTGTTCCCCTCCACTGAGCACACCAAGCTTTGTATTGGCCAATTTAGCCTTCCCGTCCTAGTGACCGCGGAACCGAGCGTGATTCGATATGACGAAGGCTTAGACAACAATAGCAGTACCTTAAATTTGAGAAGTTGCGCCAAAGGGGTTGTTTATAACGGTAAGCACGCAAATCTGTATTATCTGAGAGGTAAACAGGACTAAATTTGGTCGACACTTATTCAAGACTTTGTTAAACAAAAATTCGACTTCAGACAATAGTCTTTTTTCGTCGTGGGTAGTTGGCTAAACAACACGTATAACAGGTATATATATTGTACTCTGTGACGCTTAAATTTTGCTCTTATTTAAATTTGAAAGTTTAATGGTTTTTGTGTAATTTTTTCTCTTTTTTATGTCAAAATAAGAGTACATTGAAGAACTAGTATCACCCACCTCATGAGTGTTTTTCAATTTCATAGATTAGCATATATCACCACTGGCACAATCTTGTATTTTATATTCAACATCAGTGTCTTACTAAGTAAATGGTGTATTCAATAGCATATATATACTATTGAAGAATAGATAAGAAGATAGCATGGCCAAAATTATGGAGGTATTCCATAAGAGAATGACGAACTTGGAAGAAGAGTTACGTAAATCTCCTCATTCAATGTCTAACACTGCATTACTTGCTGCGGAGTTCACTTTATTCACGGCTTTTGTGTTCCAAGCACTGAGTAGTCTACAACAGCAAATGGAGCTCCTAGCACATACAGTCGATCAGTTATCAGTAAGGAGTCGTAGGAAAATGCTTCTATTTCATGGTGTACCAGAGAACTCAAAAGAAGATACTGCTCTGGTATTTACAAGGGTTCTCAATGAACAGCTGAAGATAGGCGACTGCTCAACCAGTGATATACGAAGATGCCATCGAATGGGCCGTCAAGCTACCGCAAATAGACCACGACCTATTCTTGTAAAGTTACAAAATTTTATATTACGGAATAAAATCTGGTATTCCAAGACTGCTGAAGAGATCCGGTGTCTTAGTTTTTAAATTTCTAATTAAATCAAGACACGATGCGTTCATGATTGGCCGAGATAAGTTCGGAATTTCTAATTGCTGGACTAAGGATGGATCAGTTTATATTCTCAGGTCTAATGGCTCTCGTCTTTGGATAGCTACGGAAAGAGATAAATTCCTAGAAAAATAATTTTATAAAAAAAATAAAAATGATTTTGTTTAATAAATATAACAGTTTCAAAAATACCCCGCGTCCGGAAAAAATTAACGATAGCATTGCGCATGAAATATTCTCGAAAACAATTTTTTAATTCCAATGAATTATTTATGCCTACTCTGCTCATGCCACTACTCGACGGAAACGTATTACCGGTTGTTAAACTCGTATTTTACGAGTCGATATATTAACGTAAGCGTGCTCTAAATACCGACATACGGAAGAAAAATTATGGGCCCTATTCTCAACTTTGTAATAAAATAAAACAGATAATCTACTTTTGATTGTTTCTTACACAAAAAGAAGCAAATTCACTAGGTAGTAGAACTCTCTTTTCATCAGGAGTCCGTCTGGGCAGCAACTCTTGCAATGCTGTATTGTGTTCTGCCAGGTATAGAAAGCGAGTACCTATAATTAGAGGCTATGAGGAATTCCATCTTATTCCTCAGAGGTGCCAACGTATCTGCAGCCCTTTGTTTGAATTTGTGTGTACGTGTTCATGGACTGCTAATCAATATCATGTGGACTGAAAGTTTGTTTGTACTTCAGTTTTGTAAGAAAAGATATTAAGAGATACTTTATGATATGAATGATATAAAATACATGACGTAAAGGATAAAATTACATATTTAAATAATCACTGCGGAATAGCACTAAAAACGCAATGTTGTAAGTAATGGTGTAATAGGTAAAAAGCTA